AATTCAATATTTCAACACATCTGAACTCCTCTATTTGTCGCATCTGGTTTTTTTTGTGGTAGTACTTAGATGAGGTCGTACTGTAATTAACATATCCGCGGTGAAAATAAATGCAGAAAATGTAGAAATTCTTCAGAAAATAAAAAGAACGTTATAGAAAAAAATAATTGTGGTCTAGGAAAGCTTGATATTTTTTTATTTTCCGGATATGTTGGTGCTTTTAGTAGTGTTCTATCATAACATGAAATGGATTGGATTGGATTTTTCTCGATTTTCTAAGTTTCTCTAAATATATATATATATAGATACAGCCTGGAGAGTTTTATTAGGAACTTCGTTTCAATATTATCTTTCTAAAAAACACATAAAACGAGGACGTCCGTAACTAAAAAATAACACACTGCGTAGTATTGAATGTAATTGGGAGCAGATATCGAGTTTTATCCAATCAAGGTCTGTTCACACAGCACAACTGCATTCGTGCACTGTAACGTAACCGCTATTGGTTTTTGTTTATTCAAATAAAAAGACATGGAAGATTTTGGATACATCCCTTTTTACGAACCAGATCGATAAATGGATAATTTCGACTTCATTACAAAGGTTTAAGAAAATATGAAGACAAATTTGGTCGATTTTCAATAGCAAATATAAATGTATAGACGTCGAGATCTATTGTAGAAAACTGAACGTGTCCTCAAGTTTAAAAATCTGCGCGGTAGTTTGGAGCGCAGTGTGCCATACCCTGCGGTGCGCCGCGCCCCTCCGCGAAGAGACGTCAGTGTGTTCGACGGCGCATGTTTTCCATGCTTACTGAGGTACGTCCGTACAACGTTACAAAACGCAGCTCCGCGCTCAGTGTGATAATCGCCTTACTCATTTTTATACCACATGTGCTTTCAATTAATGCAAAATATGTTTACAATAACCACTTCGTATGACAGTGTAAGAATCGCCTCAAATTGCCGCAACCAGGGGACGCGACGCTGCGATGCATTAAAACGGCCAATACAACATTAACTTTATCTTTAACTGGATAACGTTACATTAAGGCTGCGCCGAGGCAGCGATACGTGATTGCGAAATATAAGCGTTCGTTTGATCCCTTGCTGTATCGTTATTAATAAAGCTTTAGTTATTAAATTAATGTATAAGATATTTAAGGATTCACTCTATAAATCATACTCTTTAGAAACACGATTACTTGTAGATTCCTCGATGGAAAAAAAATCCAAAGTTATCTCTAAAAAAAAAACATAATAAACCATTAGTACGGCGTTAATTCCCTGGCCTAAGACTGTGTGAACAGATCTTAGCCACTGTTTGTCCAACAAAGAAACAAATGTTCTCGATTTATTTGACTATAATTTATCTTTGATTAAGGTATGGAGTAACAATGCCCTTTGTGCATTTACAAAGCATGTTTCCTTTTCTTTGTCAACAAAAGAGACATTCGTTTCAGCTTACGTGATTGATTACTGGAAGAGCTTAAACTAATTGATTTGTAATCGGTTACAGACAAGGTCGCTTGGGTGACATCTTACTGTCTTATCTTGTACAATCAACCTATACTGTAAAAGGAGTTTTAGAGATATTATGATTTTAGGTTTTCACGATTTCTGTGCGTTGGAAATGAAATTATTTTTTCGTGTCTAATAGCGTATTTTTGTTTTTCAAACAAAACTATTTTGTAGATTCGATGGAGGCTCGTGTTTATGAACCGTGACACACTGAAACGCGCAGCCTACGCGCGCATTTCAATGTTCTCGCGCCCGGAACCTTTCAGCGGTCACATCTGTGTGGCCAGAGCGTAAAGGTTAAAAATTAAGGCATACATCACGTGCTATATTTAAATAACCTTGTCATTTGTTGATTGATTGAGCACCGCGCATTGGTATCTCGATTATGGAACAGTCAATCACAAATACAACAATAAACACGTCTACTGTTTGGTGTCATTTTTAAGCACCGAATGTTTCAATTTTATTGTGAATGGCGCGTGCGACTCGCGCTGTGCCGCGAGATAATGTGATTTGCAATTGGATTTTGGATTTCTTGACGCAACATTCGATTCGAGTGGTTGATAGATGCCGTAGATATATAGGCGATTATTACACATGCGATACATTGGGCGATAGATGCCGTAGATATATAGAGTCCCTGAGGTTTCCGTACTGCCAGCAACTCTCTTTCTGCTGCAAATCTACGATATGTTAATTCCAGGTACAGTCATATACACAAGATACCTGACCCCCCAAGCCGACTTTGTCGACCTTTTGGTTCTGAGCACGAAAATGTGAAGAAAATTGTTAAACAAACTTAATCTTTGACCTGTGAGCTGTAAATTTTATTTTGGTATGGCTCCTTGGTCGTCTCCATAGTGAACGACATTGTAATAAAGTTTTTAAGCCAATTTGATCTTTAACGTAAATACAGAATACAAATTTCAACCAGCTTTAGTAAAGCCGTCGTGGCCTAGCGGTATAAGGATTGGTTTGCAAGTTGAGGCAAGCATGGTTCGAGTCACATTAACAAAAATATCTTTTAGCTAAGACACAACAAAAGATATTAGATTGTCAGACTTGGCCATAAATCATCGGAGCTGAGCTCCAAGCTAGATTACGCTATCTCCTACGTGCTTTGTTAATTAACTGCCTCCGTGGCCGAACGGTTACCATGCCGGACTGCCACGCAGAGGTCCCAGGTTCGATTCCCGGGCCGGGAGAAATATTTGTATGGCCTACATTTATTTCTCTCGTGAGTTTGGGTGTAATTTGTGGTTGTCTATGTGTGTGTCCATGGCACCCGCGATACAGGGTTTCCCTAGTGCGGGGCTATGTTGAGTGTGAGCGTTATTATTATTATTATTATTATTATTATTTGTGTTGACCCGTTTGACAGTTATCGAGTAAACTATCTCCTACGTGCTTTGTTTTGATAGAGTAATAACTTATTATTATATTATTTGCTATTGTTTGATTATATCAACCTTTTTTATTTAAATACCAATGTTATCAATAATATGTTTAAAATTTTTAGCGGAAATTAAACATCTCAAATTAGTAAGATTTTCGTCCGCTTTCTTGGCCTTACTAGTTTCAGGTTTATAATATTGTAAATGTTGTATAATTTAATTTGTATTGTATGAGCCACGGAAGAAAAAAAATGGAAGCGTCTTAAGCCTCGATTACTATGAGAACCGATATCGCCAAAATTCACACATCCTTAATTTGAAACACTACAAAATCTTGATATTGATTAGTCGTACCTACTTTCAAATTTAAAAAGAAATGACAAGTTCTGGATTGTTAGTATTGTTGGCATGTAGTCAAAAGTTCAATACCATCAATACCTATTCTTGCAAGTTACGAGATTCTTGAAATTATATTGACATTTCGATCAATGTACTGCCATCTAGCGGTAAATTGCTTAACGACGACGAATTGGAGTTATTAATTTAGTTCTCCAAAGAAAAACTACCATATTGCAGGGGTTATAAACTTTCGTTTCTTGTAACAAAAAAATTATATCATAGAAAGAAAATGGTTTTTTTAATATAATATCAAGTGTCGGGACGAACAAGTCCTGCGCCTAATGGTAAGCTACACGCCTGTCCATAACAGTTGCAGTGCCACTCAGAGCTTTAAATCGCTAAGATTTGAGGGGCACTGCCACTGTGCCCATCACCCTGAGACATAAGTTGATAAGTGTGCCTTGCCCATGTGCCTGTAATTTCACCAACATTCTTACCCTTCAAAACCGGAATACAGTAATGCGACCATCACTGCTTGGCGGCAGAAATAGGTAAGGTGCTACAAAAAATAAAAAAAAAACAAAAAGGTTCTAAAATCGGGGATAGATGGCACGTTTCACAAAAAAAAATTGTGTCTGAGTTACCAGTACAGTAGTCTGTGGTATGTATTAACTCATTTTTTTTATACCTTAACTTCATGCCTTGTGACTATACCAGTATAAATAATAATTTCCTCTAAACATTCGTCACGCCACAAACCGACGATGGCACCATTCAGCTTATCTTAACTTAGTTTAAGGCTCTCGGCAGGAAGTCTGTAATCTTTAATTACAGACTTCTCAGAATAGTAAACCCAGATCAAAATTTGTTCAGGAATTTCAACTCTATATTTTCACATATTTTTCATAAAGTGACGCATACAAATTATGTCAATAGAAATCCCATATAAATTTTGCCATTATTCTTTGTTAGACATATTCTACTTAAGAACTACGTTATTGAAAGAAAAATACTAAATTTTGCTGTTTGTCTTGTCAACAAAAATGATGTTTTGCTAACAAGCACACATCAGAGCGATGCTCTGATGTCGGTCTCAGAGCATTGCAAGTTGTACCATATTTCAATTGAAATAGCATAATATGTGTATTTTAAATTTAATGTTCTTTGCTTTTCTCTTCGCCGGTTTGCTTTGAGCCTAAGGCGTTTTCAGACAGAACCAACGAGTGAGACTGAATGTAGAAGTTATTTGTAAGCCAGAATATAAGAATTACCTTAATTACCTTATGAATTACCTTCGTGACTTCGTGATTTCAGTCAGGGTAGTATTTTGGGGCCAACCCTCTTTCACGTCTTCTCATAATGAATGACCTATGATAATTTAAGTAGCAATAGAGCTCCTTTTGAAAGAGTTCGTCCAGGGAAGTATTCCACCTTACCTATTTCTGCCGCCAAGTAGTGATGTTAGCATTACTGTGTTCCGGTTTTGAAGAGTAAGGGTGCTGGTGAAATTACATGCATATGGGACTTGTCAACTCAGGGTGACGGGCGCAGTGGAAGTGCCCCTCAGATCTTTGCCATTGAAAGCTCTGAGTGGCACTGGAACTGTTATGGAAAGACGTGTAGCTTACCATCAGGAGCATGATCTTATTCGTCCCGTCACTTGATATTGTTAAAAATTACATACCTATTCTGTGTATACGCGGAGCGAATATTGCAAAACTTCAATTTTCTGTCATTCTTGTTTCAGGTGAGGAATACAACGTTTTCATGTGTATACAATGGGCGATTGACTCCAGCTACCTGGAATTGCAAGGCGTCGCAGGCATCGATAAGGTATCATTAGCATCTTATTTCAGTCACCAAATCTGTTAGACACTTTTTCTATTCTAAATCTGGAAATCGGTTTTTATACACTTTTATGTATGACTGTTGCATTAATTAGTCTGTGGGTTTTTCTAAAACTTATAAATAAAGCCAAGATAAGACGAGATGTGTTTTAAACTAGCATAAATTTGCGTAAAAATACGTCCTCGCTCTAAAAACCTACTCAGATATGCCAAAAAAATTTAATTTAATTTTTAAACATTCAATTCACGCTCATCTATGAAGTTCCGTGCATGAATTGCTAAGAGAATTGCCACGGCCCGTAATGACGGGTCGCGCCTACGCGCCACTCGCGTACCATCGCGGACTCGTTTGTATCGGTAACAGACTACGGCGAGCGTCTGTTACATTTCAAGTTAGAGACTAGAGATTCGGAGAGAAGTTTTCGACCCATCGAGTATATAACCAGAAATAGAGACGAAACAAGGGCCATATAGTCCTGATAACACATTAGCGAAACAGCTCTTATAAATATCAACTCCCGTTTGCACTGAAATATAGACAAGCCAACTACTGACCTGTGTGTAGGTCTACGTATATTCCAAAAAATATTATGTATTTATTGTAATAAAGATAATATCTCTAACAATGCCTTGCTGTTCTATTCGGTGGTGTGGGAAAAACAGCAAAACATCTAATTACCAAACAAACGGAATCACATTTTATCGGTAATTAAATATTAAATATGTAATTTTGCAATTTTCGTCCATTATAGCAAAGCTTAAGTTAACTGGTCGATTTGAAGTGAAACAGTTGACGACACCCTTTAGCGACACTCGTCAATTATTTCGATCTCGGGCTAGCCAATCGGAGCGCAGTTGTCACAGTAATAATATGGCGGAATAGTTTTCAAACAAATTAAATGACATTTCGTGTCTATTTCTGGTTATGTACTCGATATTTCGACCTAACTTTCCTCTGTAAGGTTTTGCGTAACCAACTCGACACGCCCCAAATAATGTCTCAAGTTAATTTGGCGATACCCCGAAGGCTTCCACGTTATCCAGCATGTATATATTAGTATTCTTTTTTTGTTTTTGTATTGTATTTTGTTTCTATTTTCTTTTCAAATTAATGATCTTTTTTCATAAGTGCTGTATACGCCTGTAATGGTACAACATACTGTATAAAAATGTATATGTTGAAACAGTGTAAGTTTCTCTATGTATGTACCGATGGTGCATCTATTATTTAGATAAACTTCAAAGGAGCGGCACTAGAGCAGCTCAAACCAGAACAAAACTCGAGCCATACACACGTACACTGAACAATTAAGACAGTAGAAATGCTTGGTTTGCGTGACACGTATGACAACAGCTCGCGGAGTTCCTCAAACTTGAGCTCAATCCGCACTTATGTTTTTGTACGTTATGATCGTGTCAATTTACTGGCGCAAAACCTCGAAAATCTTACAAAAATGTCTCATTTCGCTATTTTTATTTAGTACAATAGAATATTGTAGCGGACTGTATCAATGGGTTCGGGTGGGTCTAACAAAGAGTGAGCAAAGCCAAAGGAAATGTCCTTACCGTTTATTATTTTATTATTAAAATACGTTCAGTTATCACTCCAGAACAGAACACAATAGTAAAGAAAAGGCGCCAAAAACAATCACATTTAAATTTAGAATTTAAATATAAAACTAAAACTTGACTGTTTGCTTGGCCGAACCATGACTGCCACGCAGAGGTCCCAGGTCCAATTCCCGGGCCGTAAGAAATATTTGTATGGCCTACATTTATTTCTCTCGTGAGTTTGTGTGTAATTTGTGGTTGTCTATGTACCTATGTGTCCATGGCACCCGCGACACGGGGCTTCCCTAGTGCGGGGCTATGTTGAGTATGTGCGTTATTATTATTATTATTTACTTTATTCTTCTCAGCTTTTTTGCTGGTTTGAACCGCATTATTATTATTATTGTTATTACCATAAAATATATAAAAGAGATTTGTAGCGACTACTGCGATTCGCTACAAATGTATTTAAAGTACAGTCACTACTTTAATTGTGTGCAAATTTAATTTATTACAGTATATTCTTTTTTTATTGGCCACTGCCAATCAAAAAAAATTAAATAACACTATTTGGAACTCTGTGAATTGAAACATTCTTAGGGTCGTATTCTAGAACTCTACTCAATGCTCAAGTCAGGATTGCAATTGAAACACAAGCACTGGAAATACGACCCTAATGGCAGGGAGTTGAGTATGATTTCGAGTGCTTTAAACCATACTCAAATCCTGTATTGAGCATTGAGTAGAGTTCTAGAATTCGACCCTAAGTGTGTGGCAAATTGAAACAGTCGTTACTAAGTAGTATTTGTGGTATTTGTTCCAGTTACAACTGACTATGCAAGAATTCCCTTTCGTGGACTCTGTCACGCAGCCGAACATGTTACTCGTCACTACTCTGGCGCACCTCATTTGTTACATCTCGCTTTCTCTGCCCTTCATCTTCCTCATGGCTAGGCTGCTTGAAGAACGTTCTTCGGGCATGCAGGTAAGCTTTAATCTTCCTGTTTCAACATATAAACACTCCCTGTGCATGAAGTACTCGATTTCGATTCCCCTTTAAGCCACTGTAGGAAATTGACTCTACTAAATTTCAACCCCTCCTACGTAAAGTATCGTATGTTGGAATTGCCAAGTTTACAGGGGAGTGTTTTAAAGTTTTGAATTCGCGGAAATGAGCATAACACGTGACTTTAGCATAGAAATGCTAAAATAAATTATAAAATTTTGTTGTTGTTCATCTAACCGATATCTAGAATTTTTAACCGACTTCAAAAAAGGAGGAGGTTTTCAATTCGACTGTACGTTTTTTTTTGTATGTATGTTACGCGATAACTCCGGTATTTTTGAACCGATTTTCATGATTCTTTTTTTGTTGGAAAGGGGGTACTTCCATAGTGGTCCCATTTCATTTTGAAGAAAATCATCCACCTCTAAGGGTGGCTGTTCACGCATGAAGATTCATTTTTATAAATAGCGCCTAAACTTTAATATAGGAGCAATTATTTTAATGGCTAATTTTGCTATTTCTCCAATTCAAGGCGTTTTTCTCTCAATATATTTTGAGAACCGATTTTTATTCTTTCCAGTGTCAAGTCCTGTATAGCGGCGAACTAGGGGATATTTCAATAAAACTTAGCAAATAGACGTAATTCCACGTACCTTTGAGGTCGGTTTTTTTAGTACTCTGTGCTGAGATTATCTAATACTCTGTGTGAGTAACAGGCTTTGCCGAATAATACTGAGAAACGCTAAAGTCACGTGTTATGCGCATTTCGGTGAAATCAAAACTTTAAAATGCTCCCCTGTAAACTTGGCAATTTCGACATACGATACTTTTCGTAGGAGGGGTCGTTTTATTGTCTGATTATTTGGTCGTTACTCTGGTTTTCATGGGGTCATTGGACAAGGCCACTCAGGTCAGGACTATGACCATTATTACCTTGGTGCATACATCAGCAGCAGAGCTTGTTAAAGAGTTCAGAAAGTACTGCCACTGTTATCAAACTTATATCTGCCGCCAAGCTGTAATATGAGCATTAATATGTTCCTGTTTTGAAGTGTAAGGGTGCTGGTCGAATTGCAGGCGCATAAACTTGTCCACTTATACCTCAGTGACGGGCGCATTGATAGTGTCCCTCACATCTTTGCGATTTAAAGCTCTGAATGGCACTGCACCTGTTATGCGTAGGCGTGTCACTTATCATCAGGCGCATGACTCATTCGTCTCGTTACTTCGTAACATTAAAAAAAATACAAACGATATTATTTTACTTATGAAAAAATAACCCTTTACCAGGAACTAATAAAAATGGTGGGCGTATCAACAAATATGCTCAACATATCGCATTTCCTCAACGTGCTACCGACTGGTCTCGTGTATAGTATATGCGGGACCGTATTCGTCACCGTCGGGAAGGTATCCCTAATACCTAATACAAATCCATTGCTGATATTCATAATGTTATTGCTGTATTTCATATCAGTAATGACGTTTGCGTTCGCCTGCAGTTACATAGCTAAAAGTGGTAAGTGTTCTTATTTTTGATAATATAAATTCTAAATTCTAAAAATAGAAACTTTTTGCCTATTGTATTGTTAAAAAATATATAGGCATTGCTGGCGTAGTCAAGATGTAACAATACCAAAGACAAAAGGCTTCCAAAACAACTTTTATGCTATATGTGGAAAGTATTTTATCATATACCAGAAGCCCCTACCATTGATCAGTTTTAAAAAATATTTGCGTAGTTGGCTTTCAGATAATTTGTTCTACTCAGTTGACGAATTTATGCAACATAAAGACTAATTGATTGATGCATAAATTATTTTACAATTATTTATTCTTGTGCAATGTTATTTATTTATTTTTATTTAATCGTTGTTAATTGCACAGGAAAGCACAAAAACACATTTAGTAACAAGGAAAACACAAATGAAAGGTACCGCTTATTTCTGACAGAAATTTTGTTTCTCCAAACCTAAATACAGCACACAACAGTTAAAATAACGGGTATATGTGCAAAACAAAACAAAATTAATATAACAAAAAAATACTATCAAAAACATTAAATTTATTAAAGATAAATACATATTTCGTGCTATAATACCTATAAAATGGATGGAACAGTAGATAAATAGTGCTCCAGAACTCGCGTTTTGAAAATTGCTATGGACTTACTATCGTGAACAGTATTAAACAGGGATCGGAATAGGTAGAGTTTTTTTACCTAAACTTCGAGGAACATAGACAGATAATGGAGACTGCCTTACGACAATATTTTTTAGGTCCTGGACCTGTTCGGGATTCGGGAAGTAACTTAAGTCCATTAAAAATTGACGTAATTGGGGACAGGCAGGTACACTATATTTATCTTAACTGTGCGACAGTGGGTCGGATCAGCGATATTGCGGACATCGGACTTTTTCACTATACCTCTCTAAAAAAATGCCAATCGAGAAATCCTATTATCCTAATTAAATATTGCCATATCACATTTTGCCCTAAATCTAATAGTTTAGTAGGTAAAATATAAAATGTGTATTTTTTGTATGGGACCATACCTTTAGCGCCCCATCGTTACAAATCGTTACACTATAGACGTATTATTAGACCTATCTTCTATAGATTTGCTCACTAATCGCGCCCCCAAACCTATTCATTATACGTGTCAGAAAATGTGCAAACACCTATTCCGATCCCTGACAATAAATTATTAACATTATTATTAATTTGTACTTACAAAACGTTGAACAAACACAAATATAAATTCCTTTTGATTCGACTGGAATCAAACCAGGGAGTCTACTCCCGCGTTCTCGGTTCGACATCCATCCGAAACAATTACTAGTAAAAGACAATGTCAAGTATGAAGCTTTATTCGTATCATGTGCCTGATAATTTAATCGAGTATTACTAATTGGACAGTAATGTCTCGTAGGAAATTTCTGTTGGATAAGTGTCATAAGCCTCTGAAGAAAGTCTTACCTTTCCCCGTGTTTGCCCCTATCACGTCGAACGTAAGTGGATAGATAAAACAGTAGTAAATATCTGTCTGCCGTAGTTCAGGAAATTCCCTGCCCTGAGACAATTGAAAAACGATTATTTGAGTTGGTGTAGTAGTCTGATTTTTATATATTTTATAGCTCAGTATGCAGTAACATTATCCACAATATGCTTCATCATGTCATGGGTGCCGCTGCGGCTTCTGATGGCAGTGAAGAGAGTCAACATAGCGACACTGATCCTCACGGGCATGATGCCGCACGTGCCCATGTTTTGGTTCTGGAGCGAAGTCAGCAACGTGGAGAAATATGGTTAGTGGTTTAACTAGTTCTATCACGGGCAACCCTATTCAGAGCTCAGCTGTTGTAAACTACAGAGCTCCGACTTTGCAAACAAGGATGGCGAAAGCTGACCCAGTAATAATCAAAAAAGAAATTATAAAACAATTTATTTTAGAATAAATGCAAGAACACAACGCAATTAATTCAGTTCGGCCATATATTAGGTAACGTTCTTGTACGTAACTGTAAGCATGATTGAATGTTTACCTACCTAAAGTATTGTTTATTTTATATTACACACATAAAACATTAAAGCTATGAAAGACCTAATCACTTAAGCAGTTAATGATATAAAGTAAAAGACAATGTGACAAAAATGTTTAGACAATATTTCAATGAGAGATTAGAAAGTTAGCAAAGGAACGTTTTGACAAGAGGCCTCTTGCCAATGTCAATGTCACATTGAGATTGAGAACAATGTGTCCATCTGTCGCATATTTCAGCCATTCGGGCAGATTTAATTTTTATTCATTTTCATTGTGGCAGAACTAGTTAACGTTGTATTAAATGTGGCAGAGTTTGGAAGCTTTGTGATTATTCAGCAAGTGAGAACTAAAAATAATAAAGATATTATTTTTGGGAACAAACTGAAAACTTACTGTTTTCTGCTACTGCGAACAAACATTATGAAGCGAAATACATTATATCAACTTTATAATCCCAGCTTCTACAGGCTGTACTCAATTAGCTTTTTTGATGCTATAATAATGAATTACAAGTGTTGGTCTCTTTAATGCACGTCGTCAAAAACACTGGGTCACAAAATACACGGGATGTCGCTATCCTTCTTTAAACCATCTCAGTTGTGTGTCGGTAGAGTGTAAATGGCTGGATTTTGTACGTTTGGTATTCCGCTAAAAGTGGCTTGTCACTGGTTAGCCAACGAGCTGTTATTGAACTGCAATTGGATTTTTTTGGTAATCTACTCTTCGATGACGAGTCGACAAGTCGATGGTGTAGTCTACTAATTATTAGACGAATCAAAATAAGTTTTGCATATTTTTAAAATGATCAGTCCCGAATCTTTCTGCATTAGTTTTGATTATAGTGACCCTCCCTATCGATCTTAGATGTAGATAGGGTTTAAAGTGACCAGTAGCCAACCTTTTTTAAGGCAAACAAGATTAACTCAAGCATTTTGTTTTTCAGGGCAGGGTCTACAATTTGCAGATATTTTTAGGCCGCACAGCTTGTTCAGCGGTTCCGTGTTTAACTGCTATATCATGTTCATACTCCAAATCGTCGTCTTAGCTTTCGTTGCGTGGTACCTCAGTAAAGTACGCCCCGGAAAATTTGGAACCGCGCTACCGTTGACCTTCTTGTTTGAGGTGGGTACTAAATAGACTACAAAGAACTTAACCGACGTAAAATCGGCGTGGCTAATGTTTATTTTATTTTAAAAAGTATAAGTTTATTTATTGAGATGTTTTGTGAAAAAACTCCACTAGTTTTGTTATAATTATGAATACAAAGATCGAACACAGAAAAATTTTCGTCGACCAGGTGGGCCTTGAACCCACGACCATGCTGCACCGTAGCATTGCTCTAATCGTCTGAGGCACGTATCCAGTTACCGAGTCGTCGAAATGTGTTTTTGTTATAAATCCTTGTACTGACAGTTCGGCATTCGTTGCCGCTGAGGACATCTAGCGAAATATTTTTTTTATAACCTCACCGCTGCAAGTATCAGTTTCTTTGTTAATTATTTGCTATATTTCAATTCAATATAATAATTTTTTTAACAGCCTTCATACTGGCATTTGAAGAAAGTGAAACCATATACGGAAAGAGACGAGGACGACTATGTGCCGATGGCGGAATCTCGTGACCCACGCTACTTTGAAAAGCCGCCGACCACCGCCGTTATTGGTATTAGCATCAACAACCTCACCAAAGTGAGTAGATACGAAACATTACCACGACAGATACGATTACTTACGTATATACAACCATTTAAGATCATAGTATTAAAGCCCATACCCACATCTTAGATGCCTAGCATTGTAAACGCGAGCATTACGTTCGTTCCTTTCTCGAACCTGCAAGATGTGGAATGATCTTCCTCCTATAGTATTTCCTTTGCGCTATGACATGGGGTTCTTCAAAAAGCGTGTCTACAGGACTTTTAAAGTCTGGCATCGCATAGGGCGACAATGACCACCTCCCATCAAGTGACTCGTCTGCTCGTTTGCCTCCTTCTTTACATAAAAAAAAAATAGTAATCTTGGACGAGATTTTGGTTTATACATGTATGTAAATATTATGGTACGATACTCTTATGGTGGTCATTGCATGCGAAAGTAGCGTAGACGAACTCTCTCCATCTAAATGCCCTTTTACACTAAAAACGCTGTCTTGATCAAGACGTAACCTAGCGCCATCTAGTACTAATTTGCGATATTGTCACAAAAAAACTTTCAAGCAGAAGCTGCAAGAGTATCTTTTAAATTGAAAATTAAATTGGTATAAATAGTACAATATATAACTGTGGTACGTCTAACTTAATGTCTGTATCATGTGTCTGTGTATGTATGTATTTGTCATGGTGAAGAAAAAACATTTTATCTATCTATCTATCTATCTATATGAACAGAAGTAATCGTGTTTGTTTTTTAGGTGTACAATAAAGAAAAAGTTCTGAACAACGTGTCATTCGATGTCTACAAAGGGGAGATCACGGTGCTGCTCGGGCACAACGGAGCCGGGAAAACTACACTTATGTCTATTATTACAGGTAACATGGGGAATGGATGAAAATTTAAAAAGTGCTTGAATTTTTTTTGTCGGTAGGAATAACATTCGTCTTTAACACAAAAAGATCCCAGATTTTTTAATGACGTTAATTAATTTAAAAAATTTAAATAATTTTATTTCCCGCCATAGTACACTAGTACGGCTGTATAAGCGACAACCATAGTAAAAAAAACATGGCAGAATAACATTGACAGTTGTTTCACAGCTTGTTGTCATAACCTTACGAGATTACGAGTTTACGAGTGTTGCTTTTTATAATTACGATTTTACGACTGCTTATTCACACCGGACCTTCGATATTGCTTGCTTTGACGACTGCCTTCGCTTCTGACTTTGGATTTGATTTTGAAAGCTGCTAGGACTACCTACGGACTTGAAAGTGGAACTTGAACCCCAGCATTCGGTTCCGCATGACTGCACCCGGCGGGCAACGTTATTTTCACCTCCCTGGGCGCGTGGTTAGGTTCCTTTTTCGTCGTAGTGAGCGCCTGGTGTCGTTAGTCAGATTTAGTAGGTTATTATATGTAGTCTGTCTGTTTTGAAGATGGAGTAAAATGATAGTTTATTGCGCAAAAGTGTTGTCCGCTTACAAGCAGCTAATGATTGCAGTCGATAAATATTCTATGAATTATCGATTGAATGTTTGGTCACGCTTATGCAGTAAATAGCCGATGTTATATTATATCATCATCGGCCCATTATCCGTCTAACTTATGGGCACAGGTTATTTGAATTATCAATTTTTCTAAATTCGTATATACATACACTGCATTTAGAACTGTGTCTATTAAAATACAAAACGGTTTTCATTTTAATTCAATATAGATTATCGAATCCGTCTTTTTTTTATAATATCTAGTAACGGGACGAACAAGTCGTGCGCCTGATGGTAAGCTACACGCAAGCTCACTCAGAGCTTTAAATCGCGAAGATCTGAGGGGCACTGCCCCTGCGCCTGTCGCCCTGAGTCATAAGTTGACAAGTACAAGTCCCATGTAATTTCACCAGCACCTTTACCCTTCAAAACCTGAACACAGTAATGCTAACATTACTGCTTGGCGGCAGAAATAGGTAAGGTGGCAGTACTTCCCTGGACGAACTTATTCACAAGAAGCTCTACTGCTACTAAAACTTCTGTTTTTATTAAAATGTTCATGAATAAAAATTGATTTCGATACTATATAATAATAATAATAATAATAACGCACACACTCAACATAGCCCCGCACTAGGGAAACCCTGTGTCGCGGGTGCCATGGACACACACATAGACAACCACAAATTACTCCCAAACTCACGAGAGAAATAAATGTAGGTCATACAAATATTTCGCCCGGCCCGGGAATCGAACCTGGGACCTCTGCGTGGCAGTCCGGCATGGTAACCGTTCGGCCACGGAGGCAGTTAAAACTATAGGCCAACTGTTAAAATAAGAATAACGAAGGCAATAACGCAATTAGTAGTCATTAAAACGTCGCAACATTCACAATTTAAGTGTCGCCAACTACATGACTATTTAAAATTTCACGAAAACTGGCAACCCTACAAATGCAAATGTCATTTTACTCCGTCTTCAAAAGACAGACTATAGGTCTCAGATTACAAAATATAGGCAGATTGAGTGCGCCGAACACGAAAGTGAAGCCACTAAAGCAAATACAAATTCAAAAGCGAATACGAACTCGCGTCAGTACTAAGCACAGCATCGCATTGATTGCACATCACGAGTGATTAGTTATTGTATGTTTAAAAATGCCCTTTTGTCTCTTTAAACATTCTAAAAGTTGTTCCCAAAAACAAAAAAATAAAAAATGTATTTTCACAGGGAACTATTGATTATTTAACTGTTTTGTAATTTATTTACCCAATATTTTTTGAGATTCGCTCGGAACACAAAACCTCGACATAAATCCGTGTGTGTTAGCAGTTTATATCGGAATAGGTTTTCCTGAAATTAGGGAAATATGAATGGGTGATAGGAGCATCGATTAATTTATACTTTTATATAGAAATTAAATAATACATACAAGCTGATCCATTTACAGCAGTCAAAAATTGTTTTTTAGGTAACTCAGATTTACCTAAATTATTCTCAAACCAATGTCTAATAGCCATTATGTACACAAAAGAAAATGTAGCCGGATAGATACACAGAATTTTCATTTTTTGTATACACATGTCATAAACAGAATGATTTTAAAAGAAAACTTATCAATAAAATAAAAAATATATTATAATGTATTACATAATTTCACAGGTTCTAAAAAGTTTCATTGGGAACCAAAAAATTTTTGCTTGAAGATGATTGTCAATGGTATGCAATTGGTTACAAAGTCAATTTAATAAAAAAAAAAAGAAACCGTAGTATTATAAAAACGTGTATAAAATAAAGGTTATTAAGATATTGTGTAACTGTGATTGTTATAAATATTTTGAATCAATTGGCAATCTTACACATACAGAAATGCACATGTCCCTACAGCGTCCCTCCTAGTCGTCATGCACACAATAAATGAAAAGCGGCTTCACATCGTTTGTTGCGTATGCTCCATCTGCCTATGTTTTGTAACCTGAGCTACAGGTATTTTAGATTTTGTATGGATGGTGGAAATGGAAATGGGATGTGTATGAGAGTGATGTATCTGTTACGTAGTAACTATTAAGTAATCTGTGGAACTAGCTTCTGGGTTATTTTGAATTATAGGAGTGACAAGCGCAACGGAAGGCACAGTGTCGGTAAATGGATTGGACTCGTTGCAGAACCAGCAGCTGGTCCGAAAGCAACTCGGCCTCTGCCCACAGGAAAACGTCTTTTTCCCCGATCTCAATGTGATCCAGCACATCATCTTCTTCTCTATGGTGAGTTTTAAAGACCTAATACGATTGTGTTGTCTATAATTTTATGCCATTGGATTGTTATTGTGACAGCTAAAGGCTAAGTCTAAAAAAAAAATTTAACTGCCTCTGTGGCCGAACAGTTACCATGCCGGACTGCCACGCAGAGGCCCCAGGTTCGATTCCCGGGCCGGGAGAAATATTTGTATGGCCTACATTTATTTCTCTCGTGAGTTTGGGTGTAATTTGTCGTTGTCTATGTGTGTGTCCATGGCACCCGCGACACAGGGTTTCCCTAGTGCGGGGCTATGTTGGGTGTGTGCGTTATTATTATTATTATTATTAGCTATCACTTGCCAATTATAGGGATATTACCTTACGACATCGAGTATATAACCAGAAATAGAGACGAAATAAGGGCCATATATTCCTGGTAACACATTAGCGATACAGCTCTTATAAATATCAACTCTCGTTTGCACTGAAATATAGACAGCCAACTACTGACCTGTGTGTACGTCAACGTATATTCCAAAAAATATTCTGAATTTATTATAATAAAGATAACATCTCTAACAATGCTGTGCTATTCTGTTCGGTGGTGTGGGAAAAACAGCAAAACATCTAATTACAAAACAAACTGAATCACATTTCATCGGTAATTAAATATTAAATATGTAATTTTGCAATTTTCGTTCATTATAGCAAAGCTCAAGTTAACTGGACATCAATTGTTTCGAACTCGGGGTAGTCAATCGGAGCGCAGATGTCACAGTAATGATATGGCAGAATAGTTTTCAAACAAATTAAATGACATTTCGTCTCTATTTCTGGTTATATACTCGATGCCTTACAAAATACAATAAAAACTTAAAACTATGCTAAGAAAATTTAATTGATTTAAATTATTTATTCTTTTATTTACTCCCAAATTAACTCGAATAGCGCTGTATTGTCCACAATATGGTGAGCGTAAAACATTTTTTTTTCCATCTCTTTCAAATCATAACTCAGCAATTTAGATTTAAAGAAACTAAATGACCTCGCATTTACATACATTTGAAGGCAGTTTAATAAAAATTTACATTCGCTCAAAACATAATATCCACTTTTTGCCTTATTTAGTTCTGACCAAAATAATAACGCACACACTCAACATATTGTCTTGAACCCGTGTCTCTGACGCCGGCCGACTGCACCATTGCCGAGGAATACCGTCTCTCCCATTTAAAAATCAAAAATTAATCTTTTAGGCCATGGGAGAGGTGAGTCTAAAATAGACATCCAAATTAATAATAAAGTTTATTACTTTCACATACTACTCTGCTAATATTATACTCGTATAACATTGTGTTGTATACTAAAACATTTGTTTGTAAAGGCTGGAGCTTAAACTAGAATACCCTGTGCTATAGGTTCCCAGGCAAAATTTGTAAGAGTATGATGCTTTCCTTCAGTTAAAAGGCAGCAGCTACAAGGCAGCAAAGGCATCTTCTCATGAACTTATGAGACGCCTAAAAATTGCAGACAAAGCCAAAAATAAGAGTGAGGAATTGTCTGGGGGTATGAAACGAAGATTGCAGCTTGCGTGCGCGCTGGCTGGTGGAGGCAACGTCCTCATACTCGATGAGCCTACTTCGGGGCTCGACGTCGAGACTCGACGGGAACTTTGGAACTTGTTATTGGTAAGCTCTTTGACGTAACAACTTTGATTATTATTCCACAACTTTCACGAAACATTTAATAATTTCCCATGTAAATCCATAAATGGTTGATGCAGTTGTTCATTTTTATGACATAAATGCCCCTTTAACAGGTTTGTGGTTTATAAAGTAACCGTATTGTAGTTACTGTTAGTTAATTTGGGTACTTGTCGCTTATAGTTGTTCTAACGGTAAGCCTCCTAAGTAATCCACCTAACTGTAAATTATTCATACCTTGTAGTTATATAGTACAAAAGGTGCGTTGTATGTTTTTACATCAAGAATTACAGAAAAATGTGAATTACGTGCGTGCATTTTTGCTCAATCGCGAAAAATTACATTTGAAAGGATGGCTCGCACAATTCCATCGCATATTACATAATTTGGGAGTTGTTTCTTTTTTGGGCAGTCGCTTCGCGGCGAGCGCACGGTGCTGCTGACGACGCACTTCATGGAAGAGGCGGACGCGCTGGGCGATCGCGTGGCGGCGCTGCACGCCGGCCGCCTGCGCGCTGTCGCCACGCCCATCTACCTCAAAAAGAACATGGGTAAGTGCTTGCTCTGCTGTACAAATATTTCTGAAGTCCATTATTGATATTCCACAAGTTCAACAAGTGACACGTGTGTCAAGTGACAAGTGTCACAGGTGACAAGTGTCTCAAGTGACAAGTGTCGCAAGTGACAAGTGTCACAGGTGACAAGTTTCGCAAGTGACAAGTGTCGCAAGTGACAACTGTCTTAATTGAAGAATCACAAAGGAAATGAAACTATTTTTCCGGATTTAAATCGCGTATATTTGTTTTTTCAAACAAACCGACGTTTCGGGCCCTTACAGGTCAGTCAACCGTGACCATGGGACCTGTAAAGGGCCTGAAACGTCGGTTTGTTTGAAAAAACAAATATACGCGACTTAAATCCGGAAAAATAGTTTCATTTCCTATGTGTAACAATCGCGAAAACCTAAGAACTCGATATGAAGAATCACAAGTCAACTTGAAATTGGCGAAATCATCGATTATTTCGATGGGGCCATATTTAAAAGAAGAAGAAGTAACGAAGCCACAAGTGACAAATCGATGCCTTTCTTTCTCATACTGGTATCTTATAAAGAGTGTTTAATCAGGAGCTGTTAAAACTTTCTATTTATTTTAAATTTCTTATCAAGGGTGAAAGGGTTGTAACCCTAACTAGCCGTGAACAGGTTCACTGCAATGAAATGGGAAACTTCCGGTCCACAAAATTTATTAAAGAAGTAAAGTGTAAAGAAAGGGCTGTAACGATAAAAAGGTAAATGTAAAAAAACAGGTACAACAGTATAAAACACTCCCTACACTTTATTATTAAGGCACTTACCCCTAAATGGGCCGAGTAACTGAATTACAGATATAGGTAAAAGATTTATAAATTATTACACATGATTTAGCTTATTAAATGATTACAAACGTAGTAAATAACCAGAATTCGCGATGGAATTTGGAACAGCTCCGACTGTTGTGGCGGTCGAGCTGGGAGTGACCGTGGTACGAAAACAAAATGAGAAAATGAAGGAAGATGGAACAATTGAAATTTAAAATTTAAATAAATGTAAAATAAAAAATTATAGGATACAAGCGGAGAGAGGCGATACAAAGAGGTGAAAGGACGGTGTAAGGAGGTCACACCGTCACAAGGGTGTTAGTTTCGATGCATTACTTTAAGAATAGGTAAAAGCTAGAGAAATGTGATGCCTGCAAAATTTGTATATACAACATTGACTTACAATTATTATTATATGGACGTCGGGTCCGAGCTAAAAAGTGTCCGCACTTGTAAGGCGCTAAAATCGTATACAGAGCGCCACACTCCGCTTTTGTCTTCATTTGTTCTACTGACAGCGCGATACTGCGATGACATTATAATTTAAATTTCGAATAGGTTGACTTGGGACATTTTTTTCGTGGTTTTTGTATTGACCCGTCGTCCATTTATTTGTAAGTCAATGATATACAATACATTTTTTGCATTTCGGTAACTTTGTGCTTTAAGACAGGAGTTTTGAGAAAGTAAGGCGTCGAAATGTCGCAGGTGACTAGTGTCACAAGTGATAAATATCACTCCACCCCACAAACCAAAGAATTAGTCATAATTATTTTTCTCACATTTTGTTTAATTTTTATTGTTTTGGACTAAAAATTTAGCGATCACTTAACATTATACACCAATTAAAGGGGTTCGGTCTCAGTTCAGTTCTTGTTAAGAAGACAGATAAAAACTTCCCATTAAATATTTGCTCCCGACCGATCAAAATGTTCTTTATGATCTTAGTGATATTGTCCTGTTAGTGTTTACAAATAACGGTGTCTTTGTATGTGTTGAGTATGACGCACCTAATTCGAGATACCTTCTTAGTCTCTTAATTCATTTGATCATCAATTTATGTCTATTCTTAAAAGTTAGTTAAACATTTGGCTTTGGATACTTGTATGTAACCAGGTATATGTAAACAGGTACTGGCTACCGATTATCAATAACGACAACCGAACAACGCGACAAAGAAGCAGCAGATGCAGCAACCCGACAAATCACCAATTTCGTAATAAAACGCGTACCAAATTCAGAACTAAAAGGACAAGGTCTCAACAGCCTTGAGTACTCACTACCGTCTGCCAGCAGCAAGAACTTCCCTAAATTGTTCTCAGAGTTAGAAGAACAACGACAAACGCTCGGAATAGAGTCGATTGGAGTCGGTGTTTCTACTCTTGAGGAAGTCTTTTTGAAGTAAGTCCTGCTTTATATGGTTTTGTCCTTAGCATAATGACTTAACAAAAACTAACTGATCATTTGTCATTGTTTTATAAATTTCAAACATTTACGATATGTCAAAATGGGGATATTAGAAAAGGCTTTACTAACATTTGTCGGTCAAAATGAAATCTATCTCATTCCTTGTGACACCATCGGGACTTAACTAGGTCCTTTCTCTTTGAGGCGGCTTATGGAAGAAGGAGTTCATCATAAAGAGTCCCTGCTTTTCCATGAAGTCGACCATGGAAATCCGTTCGTATACCATTAACAAAGCATCAGAGGCCAAACTTGACCGTCGTTCTCACCTGAATTCGCGCGTCGAAAGCTCGCCTTTCATTAAGAAGAATCAGATTTGCGAAGCATATATTTTTTTTTTTTATAAAATCTTACTGATGGATTGTCTAGCCGGTTTGATGTCCACCCTGTTTGAGATTTATTCAATGCCAGAATACAGTGTAACAATGCGACCGTACTTTTACTTCATGGGCGTTTTCTATAAGTGAAAGAAAGAAATGATGTTATTTGGTAACCTAAAGACAAAATATATATATGATAGAATGATAAAAAGAATATAATATCCTTAGAATAAAACACAAAATATAAAAATCACATTTAAATAGTTACGAAAATGGCTACGTTTTCAGTGAAGCAGAATAAAAAATAAGGAAGATGTCGCGTCGTCCAAGTAAAATTTGAAAACAAAATGCTATAAACTAGGCGTAAATGAAAATTCAATGCAAATACGTGTAGAGTAGTTGGAATGTAATAAAATAATAACTGATTGGGCGTGCATTGTGTGTGCAATGTGTTCTCATGTTTGTGGTTGGGATATTACTGTCAGCACTAAAATGGCACGTAGACACAACACCAGTACTGTTAGCTCGGCATCGGTAGCATCGGAAAACATAATAAAAATAAATTTCTTAAATGATGATTTGAAGGAGGCAACAGCTTTGCAATTTTTTATTGGCGATGGAATGTCGTTCCAACATTTCGCGGCAGCGAAACGGTAGCTGCCGCGAAAGTGCGGTGTGGAGGACACATAAATCGAATAGCAAGGCGAATATTCCGTTGGGAAAACGTAAGCTTTTCGAAGAGGTATGAAGGTTCTCGATTTATAATCAATCCGAAAAGTAAAATAGTAAGATGCAACTTAGAAATTCCCCCTAATTTCCGGTCGGTTAAAAACCAGTTTTATTTTTTTTATTTTTAAATTGTCTTCCTTCAGATGCACTATGCAGTCAATATTCCAAAAAGAATCTCTGCTAGTATAGCGTAACTTGTTTCTTTACTGGACCTGAAACAGAAACGTACTCTTTGCTCCACATCATCCAGAAGTGCTACCAGTGACACAAAACAAATAAATTTGTTTTTCTTTCTTTCACGGACGGATACGAGCAGATGTCAGTTCCTTAACATAGAATCTGATTTTCCTTGCAGAAGAAGTAGGTTACTTCATTTAATCACAGATAACTTGATCTTCAGATTGATTATTAGATATTAAAAAAAATATTTCATGCTATTCTGGTACATGTACACATTACATTAGCATAAGTACTGACTTTCGTTTTTCGCCATCCAACCCCATTCCTATTCACAACAAAATTCCAGGTTGTGCAGCGACGTTGACACAAATTTCACGGGTGACGTTGTCGACGGTCAGCTTCCACAAAGTAAGTTTTATTGTAACGTCCTACTGTACAATTATTTTGTGCAATCGGAATTCCGAAGACTGCCGAGAGATATTAATTAATAAAATAGTTGTACTGTACGGCCAGAAAAAAAAAGACTTTCACAGGGGGCCGAAATTTGTAGAATAAATTCTTTTGAAATATAATGTAAAATTGGAATGATTATTTTAATATATGCTCAGGAATCTTATTGTAAAAACGTGTACAGTTCGTAATAAAAAAATCGTTTATTTTAATTAAACGGAATCGTGGGTCTTATGGAAGTCATGGTAGTTTGGACTGAAACTCATGGTAGTTTGGACTTAGTTCTAATTTTAATATTATGCATGCTGAATCGATCTTATTGCAAATAAAAATAATCACATTATTTGCAATAAGATACCGGTTTTTATTCAGATTTGGCCGTAATGTTTTTTCTTTTTCAGGCCCGACGTATCCGAAAGTGAAGGGTGTTTATATGGTCCTGAACCAATTGCCTGTGCTTATGCTAAGGCATATTAAGTATTTATACTTTAAGAAGTGGAGTTTCATCTTCATGGTAAGAACTCGTCTTGTACATTATCTTTTTTTAACGACCTCGGTGACACAACGGTTTTCATTGTGGGCGCCTGATAAGGTGGTCTCGGGTTCGATTCCCGGTAAGACCAATTTGGGAAATTAACCTCAGATTGAATACCTTTGCGGTGTTTATTATAATGAAAATGTTGCTCTCAAATTTACCACTATACAGTGTGTTTTTTGTGAAAACAATTTTTTCAAATCACTTACTAGAGATTTTAAACTTCTTTGAACAAAATTCATCATAGACATGGCTTCAATTCTCTTTAAGTACTACAGAGAACCTGCAAAATTTTGGTTTTCAACTGAAACCCTGTTAGTTACTAAACTCACATTTATCCCAAAACTTCCCAAATTGCTCAGTGGTTTAACGACACGCCGCGTCGCCCGCATCTCCGTCAGTCGCCATTGGGCGCTTGTCAACGACGGATCTGTGTCAAAATTTTTCCGCCTGTTCTTATTTTATTCATGTTAATAATGGCGGTCCCCAACACCTTATCTCGTAAAATGTAGACTCGCATTGATATACCTCCCCTTAAATGCCATTTGCAATTTAAAGTGACTTTTTATATACCAAAAGTTACTAGTTACTAAAAGTTACTAAACGTGCTGTCAAAAAGATCAAATTTAGAAAAATTGTTATTGTATACATTTTAATTAACGTTGGGCGTTTGGCTCTTTTTCCATTGTAGTTCATTGGGTAATATTTTATTCCCATAAGTCATTGACTTACAATTATATGGACGTCGGGTCCGCGCTAAAAAGTGTCCGCACTTGTAAGGCGCTAAAATCGTATACAGAGCGCGACACTCCGCTTTAGTCTTCATTTGTTCTACGGACAGCGCGATACTGCGATGACATAACAATTTAAATTTCGAATAGGTTGACTTGGGACATTTTTTCGTGGTTTTTGTATTAGACCCGTCGTCCATTTATTTGTAAGTCAATTCCATAAGTAAATAATATTTTTAACATATAACGTTCTGTTTGCAGCAAGTATTACTACCAATTCTGTTAGTATTCGTCTTCTCCTACTCTACAAACGATTCTATAAGTGCTTCCAAAAACACAGCTAACGGTATGGCCATGGACCTCAGCATATATAAAGACATGTATCAACCCAAAGTTCTTTATAAATTGGATCAAAATGACCCGGCTCAGTTAAAGAATTTTCGACGGTTTAATAAAGTTGTCTTTGAAGAAACGTCGAATATAACTGATGGTATGTATTTTTTGTTAAAGTTCGATCCGACTGGACTCGACCCAGTGTATATAAATAATAAATATAATGTTTAAGTAAAGATGTTTAATAACACATATCACAACTTTCCTTCGATAAACAACCTAAAATCCATCCTTTAAAAAGATTATTTTGAAATGAAATTAATAAGTACAGTAGTAATATTGTATTTGCCTGGTTAACCAAATGACAGCTGAAGTTTGTATACTTTTAGTTAGTAACCGAAACCTTTAGCGCCCAATTACACGAGGCGAAAGTTTTCGCGCGGTTATCGCCCAGTTACCGCGCCTTCGTATACATTAATGGCAAATCTGAATTGTATTTATTAGGCAACAACATGTAACTTCCTCTGAATAATACAACCGCGTAGTGGCCGCGCGGGCCGCCGCGTAGACCAAATTCAAGCTAGGATCGCCCGCGTGCCCGTGACGCTCATTTAAGTTAAAACGTAAAAGCTAAATAAATAGAGTGTATTTTGCTATCACAGTTAGGCCCACGCGGTCGTTCAAGTTCTACACATTCAACGAATACGAATTTTATGTCAATCGTTTACAGTTTTATTGAACATGTAAACAATTGACTCGATAAAACTGTTTATCTGTGTTATTGCCTCTGTAGGGCCCACAAAACAATAAATACAGTAGAAGTGCTTAGTGAGTGTAGTACGTGTGCCAACAGCACGAGAAGTTTGACGTACTTGAGCTCAGTCCGCCATTTTTGCTTTGCACGCTGTGATGTCAATTATCTCGCGCAAAACATCGAAAACCGCGGGGAAAAAAATATTTTGCTACTTAGGCGCTCAAAATCGCATCTGCAATATGATTATCCATATTGCTGTTTCATAATATCATTTAATTTTATTTTATTTGAATAAATTTTCCATTTTGTGCTCGATTCGTAATTCAACACAAAATGGAATATTCGTAATCGATTTTTTGTCATAAAAAACGAACGTGAACCTTATACCCGTGGTATAATGTAGACTTTTTTTGGAGAAAGTTAATTGGCGTTAATCGTTCGTCTTTCAGCTATTGCCGCTAGAACGTTGAATGAAATTTCAATTATAAAATCGAAACGTAACTTGCAATGACCTATTATTATTGAATTTTCAACGATATGTCAACTGGGTAAAGTTTAAATTATATTAACAGTCATTTAGACAAAATGGTTAACCATAGCACGTCCAACTTCGTTGAGTTCCCAATACCTACTGACCTACAGTTTAACGGATGTGCCACCATTTGTACGCGTGACGCAATGTTACACAAATATGTATTCTTTTATACTTAATTTTACTTTTTTTCTTATAGCGATCATTCGAAAAGGCCAGCAAGACTTAATCGAGTATAGTAAATACATTGCAGGAATCGACCTCGAAGGTGATAACGCTAAGGTAAGAGAGTTTACAATATATTTAACCCCACTATTTGAACATAGAAACTTCACATATTATTCATAAGGCGGACTACAGCTATGTAATATTAAAATCTGAATTGAACCTTATGTTCAAGCAAGTTTTATGAATTGCTCACTGCATTTCAAGTGATTTTAAAGCCGTCTGTCTGGTCAGTTTGAATTAACTTCTGCTCGTCACATGATTTCAAAGACATGTGATTAGTCAATTTGAATTGTTTTGTGCTTCTCACGCGACACCAAAAAGGCATATGATTGGTGAGTTTCAAATTCATTCCGCGTTTCGCTTGATATTCAAGTCATGATTGGTCATCTGAATTTTCTACTACTACCTATAGTGCATCACTTTTTACACCAGGTATACTACACAACGACAGTGCGCCACGCAGCGCCCGTAGCTGTAAACTTGCTGAGCAACTTGCTGGCAGCTAAAAACGATCGCTCCATCACCACGTACAACCAACCGCTCAAGACGGCCTTTGTCGTCGACCAGATGGTGCCTAAGTCAGCATTCACTACGGCGATGTGGTCTCTTTTCGTCCTTTTTGGTATGTATTTTTTATTTGTTGATTTTTCTCAAGCATGCTTGGAAATGATTCCATTGCGTTCAAGAAAAGAATTCGGAAAGATTATAATTTATGGAGCGTGCTACTCTTTGCCGGCCTAGGCCAACGCTCAAAAGCAGCAAAACAATTAAATTAATCACCGATGATATGTGATTCCGTTTGTTTTGTAGTTAGATATTTTGCTGTTTTTCCCACACCACCGATTGATTAATTGTTAGAAATATTATCTTTATTAAAATAAATATTTTTTAATTTAAATATAGAATATTTTTGAAATATACGGAGACGTATACACAGGTCAGTTGTTAGCGCTGTACTATTTCAGCTTTCTAATTTGTGATTTCAGCGCAAACGAGAGTTGATATTTAAAAGTGATATAAGTCCCATTTGCCTGATGAGTTGCCTGGGATAGATGGCCCTTATTTCGTCTCTATTTCTGGTTATATACTCGATGTTCCGACCATATTGTTTTTTTTTTTATAATGAACGAGTAGTGCGTCTGGTGATAAGCGAAATGCCTATCCATGACAGTTGATGTCCTCAAACTTTTTAATCGCATAAATCTGACATTGGCATTAGTTGACAAGTCCCATGTGCCTGTAATTTCACCAGCCGCAGTAATGCAGTAATGCTCACATTATTACATGTTTGACTTCAAACATAGGTAAGGTGGCAATACTTCTCTGGACGAACTCTTTCACAAAGAGCTCTACTGCTATTTCATTCAAAAGATACTCAACAGATAAATCATAATATTCGTCATAAGTTTCCCTTATGGAAGAATGGCATAAGTGGAGTTACGTCAAAAACGTTTATTGCTCATTATATACAGAATAATATAACCCACTTCCTCTCCAATTCTTGTAACTCTATAGACTAATATTGTAGATATACTTACAAGAATTGGAGAGGATGTGGGTTATATGTTTCTGTATCTAATGAAGCAATAAACATTTTTGACGTAACTCCCCTTATGCCATAATTCCATGAGGGGTGCATAACTAGGTATATATGTTAAGCTGTACAAGATCTCCCCCTGTGGCTTGCAAAAACCTTACTCTCGTGTGATATTCATACTCGTACGTGTCATAGTAAATCATGTTACAACTTTAACATAGACTAAAATAAAATTAGGATATGAGATAGAACAAAAAATAAATCAACAAATGTGTTTTGAAGTGTACATAGGAATAAACCGATTCCCTTTACGCTTGATTTCGAGTACAATGGGAATACTACTAAGAGAGCGCCGAGTGAGACAGCAACAATAACAATGATTTCACGTTTACGTTTTAGCTTATGTTAATTATTTTTTACTAAACTATCATCGAAATGTTTTACGTACTAAAAAGATTAGTTTATGATTTAGTAACTAGTTATCATTTAATAAGAATTGAGGTTTTTGGAGTAGTTAAAAATGTGAAATAAAATTATTTACAATGATTGATTTTTTAGTTATTTACAGTTTATTTATACTTACGTGGTACAGAGCAAATGTTCAAAATGTCCACCGTTTTCCACAATGCATAGTCTACCACGGCATAGTAAATTTTGTTTTAAATTGTACAACACAAACACATTTTGTCTTACAGTATAAAATGCTGAGATAATCCTCTCACGCAATCCTTCGACACTGTTCACTCTCTCTCTCTTCGACCTTCGCGTATCTCCACTATCACTATCACAACTTATTGGGTAAAGTCGCACCATCTCAGTCAATTTGACGTTAGAATAAATATCCATATTGCGGCGATTCTTTAGATCAAGGTCGCGCGTGCACTGAGCAATTTCGCGTATGCGCTCGCGCCCACACCCACGACCTGTGCTTTCGCCGCCGTGTCGCCATCCGCCGCTGCGTCGGAGCAATAATAATGATGTGCATAGATTTTGATAACTAATGTTGTTCTCAAGTAGTAGTCGACAAAAAAAAATAAAAAAAATATTTTTGTAAAGTTCATTAGTTTATTATTTCTTTGGGTTCAGAATCAGGAATATAACGCACTCTATAAGTATATCCCACTTTCAAATATACAGCCTGAATAATACGATGATCAAAATTTGTTCACAAACTTTTTTGTTTCAGTAAACTTATCAACAGTAATGAACGCAGTGTCTTTGCTGATTAAAGAGCGCGTGTCAGGAACTCGCCACATCCACATAATGGCTGGGTGTCCCCCGTTGATCCATTGGATGGCCACGTTTATCACTCACGTGTTGATGTACACTGCTATCTCGGTGGTGCCCACACTAATCGCTGCAGCTATTATGGACCGCGATAATACTATAAACAAAGCGGACTTTCTCCGTAAGTACAATTTATTTATTATTGTGTGTACAGTGGGCGATAATTAGATTAATAATACTACCTCGTAACGAAAAAAGGCACAGTTTTGCGTACTTTATACAGCAGTTGTGCTTTTTTCGTTCCGAGGGCACAATAACGTGGGTAAGATATTGTACTAACTAGCACAGATGCCCAATTTCATATAAAAAAATGTCTCACGCGTAAATCTAATTACTTTGATTCTTAACGCTTTTCAATAGATGGTATCAAGTAAACCCACGATGCGATTGTAATGATATTCGAAAAGACCAGCAGATGGCAGCTGTTACATTTTGGTCAAGGTTATAAGCTCTTGTTCAGGCGTTGATTATAATATACAATGACTTAATAAAATCGCTAAGAAGCTGAGCATGTACTTTTAATACTAAATTTTAGTACTAAAATGTTATTTAGTTTCGAGAATAAATTCAAAGAAATGCCACCTATACAATTTATTGCAAACTAACTGGTAACGCCAAATAGTATGTCTGAGCTCGCATATCCTTTCCCTTTCCCATCCTAATCCGTGCTACGCCAAAGCCGCTTAAATCGCCAGTAAATTAAATATAATTATGTGTGACATTAAAAATTCGAACTCACAAATCTGCATCCGCAACATCGCATTTTTTATAAATTAACTATCCGCATCTCTGCCCAGCATTAAGCTGCGTACGCAAGTGTTTAAGAGGGAGTATGCCAAAAAAGTTTTGACGTTGGCTCCGCCTACATTTGTGAGACAAATATATGCTTGAAGTTCGCGTGACATGCGACAGGAGGTGTTGAATTTTGCGCATTAAAAGTACCAAATTCATTTTAGAGGAATAACTTAAATTTAAAAAAAATCCGTAGTTACAGTTCTCGATCATGCATAAATATAATTCATTATCTAATTTTTGTCCTAATAACCTGTAGCGTTTCGAGGATGAATCGAACAAATGTGAAAATTAGAGGTCATTTCGTGATTTTTAACTATCGAGGAAACTTTATTGTTGTATGTTTCTGATTAGTGTCTATGCTCGAATATGTCGTGTAGTTACTCATACAATATTTTATTTTTAACTTTAAATTGGACATACCCCTCTAAAATCAAATCAAAGATTAGGAATTTTTCATCTGCTCCCTCTTAATAGTGGCGTTATTGATGGTCGGCCGCAAGTTAGGCGGTTAAGCGCTACGCACAATCCCTTCGACTTTTCGGACAGTAAAGGTTGGTGGTAGCACGGCTTCCCTTCCTTTTACTTGCGAGATCACGTTTTTAGCAGCTCTTCACGAGCTATCGAAGCTATTAAATTTTTTCTTATAGCGTCACCACTAACAAAACGAACAAAGACATATCATTGAGAAACCTTCGATTTGTTATAATTTTAAGGATAGTTTACTATTTTTACAATTATTCGTGTTGTTGCTGATGCAAGTTTTTTACACATCAGCGAAAGCTGATTCGGACGCTTTTTCACCGTGTTGATGCTGGTCTTGTGTATTAAAAAAAAAGAACGCGAAGAATATACATCCTTACTGAATCTATCTACATGAACAAGCGTTATATTTCATTTGGTACTGTTATAAAATATTATTTCAACGATTTTGTGACATTTATTAACAAAAGTATCAATCGGCTTGATATGAATGATGAAACAATAGCTGATGAGGATGAAACAATAGCTGAGCTTCTTTTTCAGCTTAGTTTGTTTCTGGAAGGTTTGTAAATTATTCCAACGTACCTTTTAGGTCATGTCACGGCTCGGACATCCGCAATAAATATCGATGAATGCGGATGTTGATGCGGATGCTGCCCTTCTCTGTGAACTTTAGGAACTCAAGAATTGAAAAACTTTTTAATCCACTGAAACATTACAAAGTTCCAACTAAAAAAAATAATTAATTGTGCACCTATGACTTTAATTCGTAAGCTACGTACATATTTGTAAATGTTTAGTTGCATTACCCCAAACCGCATTGACTCAGCGTGGCAGAGTGTGGCCTAAAGATGAGTCTTGATAGTCACGGTATGAATTCGGAATTGTAGTCTAGGGTCAACTGTTAGTGTCGGCAAGGAGCATCTAGATGTCGCTGTCACAATTGTAAGAAATAAGTATCGCGTATTTTTATTTAACGAGAAATTATTTCGTATGTACTATTAAATAAAAAAATAAACAAAATATTGAAGAGATTTATGTAAATAAATAAGTTCACTTAACTTTTAGTCATTACAAATCAATATTTAGACAATAAATTCGAAAATAATATTGTTTCCACTGCGTCCGAGTAACTATTTTAAGATTGCTAAATTTGACATAAAAACAATATTACTTGAATTGAGTGAGTTAATACTCACAAAGCTGTCAATAAAACATGATAGTTTTAACATTATAATAGACTTACTTTAAGCGCGTCATGGTACGAAAAGTTAATGTAAGTTAAAGTAAGGTAAGTAAGTAAGTAAGGTTAATGTAAGGGTAAAGTTGTTTTAAGAGATTGTGGTAGGCGCCCTGCTCGTCCCTACTAAATCCGAGTCACGTACAAGCCTCGTGTCACGATTTTCAACTGAATCTAAGATAGCCAGTTGGTATTTATAATTACTGAATAATAACGCCAACTGAATTAAAATAAGTTCAATGCGCCGAAACTAAACCGGAAGCTTAGGACAAAAAGAATCTTGTACGTAAATTGTATAGAAACCCTAATGAGATATATATAATTTAATTAACAACAACAACATCAAGGGAAGCCCTGTGTCGCGGGTGCCATGGACACACACATAGACAACCACAAATTACACCCAAACTCACGAGAGAAATAAATGTAGGACATATAAATATTCTCCCGGACCGGGTAACCGAACCTGGGACCTCTGCGTGGCAGTCGGCATGTTACTATTCGGCCACAGAGACAGTTAAAGTTAATTACTAAATCCATGTAGTTGTTCAGCTAAAGGATATTAATTTAGAATTATTTGATTGCAGTATTCGCTTTCGTGGTCTTCGAATTGGCAGTAATGGCGTTCCTCGCGTTCACGTACTTCGTCAGTTTCGGTTTCGGCGAGCGAGCAGCGCTGGGAATGCTCACCGTCGTCCTCATGATCGCAGGTAAGTGTTATTATACTAATCAATCTATACTAATCTACATATGCAATACAAAGAGCAAAAGACGCAAGCTGCTTAGTAGCAGTAAGCTCCTTGTGAAAGAGTTCGTCCAGGAAGTACTGTCACCATGCCTATTTCTGCCGCCAAGCGGTAATGTGACCATTACTGAGTTCCCATTTTGAAAGGTAAGGGTACTGGTGAAATTACAGGCACACGGGCCTAGTTAACTTATGTCTAAACTAAGTTTGCACAGCATATATAGAGCTCAGAATCCTCGCCACACATCTGTAACCATAGATATAGTTTTGTGTTTTTAGTTACTATTTATGTGTAACATTTTTCATTTGTATGTTTTTTTTGTGTGTGGCAAATAAATAGAATTTGAATTTGAATGGAATTTAAGGTCTTTGCGATTTAAAGCTCCGAGTGGCACAGCAGCTGTTACGGATATTGACGCACGACTTGTTCGTCCCGTCACTATGAATTATAAAATATAATAATAATAAAAAACCTTACTGTTATTGGAGTTTACTACTGTATCTATACGCAATTTTTTAAGAATATTAGGCGGGCCTTATACTCGGTGGCCCAATGGTTTATACTCCGTATATTCCAAAAATATTCTGTATTTATTGTAATAAAGATAATATCTCTAATTATGGGGGGCTGTTCCATTCGGTGGTGTGGGAAAAACAGCAAAACATCTAATTACAAAACAAACGGAACCACATTTCATGGGTAATTAAATATTAAATATGTGTTTTTTTAATTTTCGTCCATTATAGCAAAGCTCAAGTTAAACTGGTCGATTTGAAGTGAAACAATTGACGACACCCGTCAATTGTTTTGAATTCGGACTGGCCTATCGGAGCGCAGTTGTCACCGGAATAATTTGGCAGAATAGTTTTCAAACAAATTAAATGACATTTCGTCTCTATTTCTGTTTATGTACTCGATGATCTAACACTATGTGGATATTTTGCCCAAAATTAAGATTTGAATTGAGTTAAAACAATTGTTCTCCTACAGGTTTATTACCAGCTACCGTAACAATAATTAACGACTCCGGACCAAAATCTGAAATGGGCGTTTGGCTGATAATGATCAGTATTTCGAAAGTGTTTATACCACCTCACGCGGCGCTGCTGGCTTTATACAACGGAGGCAAAAGCGCCGAGATAAATGCCCAGTGTGACACGGTTGTACACTTGTGTAAGACACAGATGATCGCTAGATCGGAGCTTAAGAATTGCTGCGGTGAGTACAGCTGTTTTATTCGTGATATGAAGGTGTTATTTTATTGAATAGCGTCAGTATTGGGCAAAATTTAATTATTCTGGCAATTAAAGATTGACAATTAATTAATTGTCAATTGCGAAACAGCAATTAACGATTGATCAATTGTTAGTTGCGAGAACCGTGTTAATTGCGGTTCTCGCAACTAACAATTGATCAATCGTTACTCGCGTATATCTGCAATTAACAATTAATCAATTTTCAATCTTTTCAATGCGGCGGGCACGACTTTTCAAATAATGGCAAGTTGGAGGGTCTCATTAAGAATATGGCACTTATTTCTAAATCCAAGATGACGGACACGATTTTTCAAATAATGGCATGTTGCGTATCGTTTTCGAGGTATTTGGGGGTTCTCATTACAAATATAGTATTTATTTCTTAGTCCAAGATGGCGGGCACGCTTTTCAAATAATGGCAAGTTGGGTATCGTTTTCGAGGTATTTGGAGGTGCTCATTACGAATATGGCACTCATTTCTAAATCCAAGATGTCGGACACGATTTTTCAAATAATGGCAAGTTGCGTATCGTTTTCGAGGTATTTGGGGGTTCTCATTACAAATATAGTATTTATTTCTTAGTCCAAGATGGCGGACACGACTTTTCAAGTAAATGCAATATGGGTATCATTTTCGAGGTATTTCGGGGTGCTCATTACGAATATGGCACTCATTTCTAAATCCAAGATGGCGGACACGATTTTGAGTGAGTGAGTGGGTGGGTGAGGAGGTAAGTTAGGGGGTGGGTCACTCACCCGCTTACCCACCCCCTCAAACCCTCTCACCCACCTCCTGACCCACCCCCTAACTCACCCCCTAACCCACCGCCAAACTCACTCCTTAAAACCTAATCCAACCCGACTAATTTAATCCGACCCCCTAACCGGCCCCCAACCGACTCCTTAATTGGCTACCTAACCGGCTCCCTAACCGACCTCCTAACCGACCCCCTAACCGACCCCTAACCGACCCCCTAGCCTACCCGCTAACCGACCCCCTAACCAAACCCCTACCGACCCCTAAACCGATCCCTAACCGACCCCCTAACCGACCCTTTAACCGACACCCTAACACACCCCTAACCCACCCTCTAACCGACCCCCTAACACAAAACCCTTGTGTTAGGGGGTCGGTAACTAACAACTAACTAACTAACAAAAGGGCCCATTGAAAACCAGCGTCACAACCTAGCCTTGGTTGTGACTTTAGCTGAATGGGATCCTTTTGTACACGCCACAGCCGCACACATGTCAGTATAGTATTATGCAACTTGTTGTTGAAATGTTTTTACGCTGTTCTTTGTGTTATTTCTGTTTTAGTTATATTAGTCTTTGTTTTTGTGTTTTTTTTTATAATGTGGCGTTACAATAAATGGTTTCTATTTCTATATTTCTATTTAAAAAAAAAAGGGCTAACCCACCCCCTAACCCATATTCGTAATGACACATTTATTCGGTAGTTTCGGTTTTAACTGTTAGTTTCAATTGTTTCTTAGAACAACTAAGAAAATTAATTGCAATTAATGTAATTGCAATTAAAATCAATTCAATTGAAATCAAATCAATTGCAATTGATTTCAATTGAATAGATTTTTTAATCTGATTGAAATTTAATTGATTAACGCCCAACACTGAATAGCGTGATGCTTTTACTACCGTGACAATCATATTTTAGTATAGTAGTTACAAAGCTCCTAGTGAAAGAATTCGTCCAGGGAATTACTGCCACCTTACCTATTTCACCTGCCAAGCAGTAATGTCAGCATTACTGCGTTCCGGTTTCGAAGGGTAAATGTGCTGGCGAAATTACAGACACATGAGACTTGTCAACTTATGTCTCAAACTTTCAAAGACCCATGTGCCCGTAATTTCACTTTTACACTTTTACCCTTCAAAACCGGAAAGCAGTAATGCTCACACATTACTGCTTGGCGGCAGAAATTGATAAGGTGGCAGTATTTCCCTGGACGAACTCTTTCACAAGGAGTTCTGCTGCTACTAAAATGTCCTACTGTTTAATGCTAAAAAAACAAGTATAATTTTCATACAATGTCTAGAAGTGCTACCGCAGCGCAGTTGTCGTGACGCGCGCGATTTTTGCATTCACAACTAGTGAAGGAAAACGCAGACGCGCGATTGCAGCGCTAGAAGCGTCTAATTCGACTTGTTCAGTGATTTCGTTTAGAAGTGACCCAAACGCCACTCATAACCATAGCTATTATATTTAAAAGTAACACTATTAGCTGTCAGTTTTTATCTCTAATTAAAAATCCGGTTGTACTTGGTTTAGAAGACAGTTAAACACGATGCCATTTAAGTTGTATTGTATTCTGTGTTTCAGATCAAAATAGTCCAGGTTGCTACTTCTGTTTCGGCACAGACAGACCTGGTGAACAAATGCTAATACTTCTTGCACAAGCTGTAATGTACATGGTAAGTGTTTAATATTATCACTCCCTGGGTAGGTATCGCCGCCGTACCTTTGACAGCATCAGTGGCCCAATTGGCGCTTCTTCTTATTGTATCGATTTTTCTTTTATTTCGAGACTATATTGACTCTGAATAGTATGTTACCATCTTGATTGTGCTATCCGTGGCCGCGCAAAGACCTTACAAGTTTTTGTTGTACTATCTGACACTTTTTAGATATGTATTTATAAACAACTACGTTTAGCAACGTTTCCTGCGTGCTGTCTTTTGCTACCTTACCGGCTTATCACCGTTTAGAGTGACCTATTTAAATACTTTTTTTTACTCCAATTATAATTTCGTAATCATGAAGGCGCTCTTCTAAGTTCTGAATCAAAATTCTATTGTCTATGGTACTCCCCACTGAGTTGAACAGTTTCATTATAGTACACAGAACAATAATGAGATTCAAAATAAGAAAGTCATATTTTTGCAATTTAAAATATCAATTAGGACGCTACTCACACGCTTTACTGCCTTCCGATTGGTTAAATTGGCCTGAAAGTCTGACTAGGCCATAAATTTTTATAAAAAAAAATTGCTTAAAACATATGCGGTACTTAGCCAGTTCTATTCTATCTCTTGGGTTTTTTAAATAAAATAAATAAATATATGAAGAGGCTGTATGGTGGATCCATCGAGTATATAACCAGAAATAGAGACGAAATGTCATTTAGTTTGTTTGAAAACTATTCCACCAAATTATTCCAGTGACAACTGGGTTCTGATTGGCCAGACCGAATTCGAAACAATTGACGGGTGTCGTCAATTGTTTCACTACAAATCGAGCAGCCTAATTAGAGCAGTTTAATTATAGCTTTGCTATAATGGACGAAAATTGAAAAATTACGTGTTTGATATTTAATGACGGTAGCCTATTACAAACTCGAATTTCTTTTTCCTTATTTCATTACTCCGAAAACGGTTCGACTTTTTTTCAATAGTTGCAATGACTTTTGGAATAAATTTGCAACTCAGAAATGTGTTACAGCAGAAGTATCGTTTGTCCGAAAACCTATTATTAGAATAATTGTTACACATACGTGCCAGAGCCGAATTTGTTTGCATTACCGAGACGGTACGACCCCCGTAGGTTTAGGTTAGGTTAGTATATGAAATAGCAGCACGAACCGAACGAGCGAAGCGAGCAACTACAACTCGATCAAATTAACTTGCATCTCGTTTACCGTATTTTCTAAAGATGCGAGGTGCTTTAATTTGACGAGTTGTATTGTGCGACGCGTTCTAATACTTTTAATATTTGTAATAAGAAATAATATAACGAAAATGTATCATGGTATCGTTTTTTTTTACTAAATAAAAATATTCCATTATATACATTGGTCTACCGGTTTGTTGGGGAAATAAAAATGTGGAAAAGATTAACTTGTCAACATGTCAAAATAGTGAAACATTGAATGGTGTAATAACAAAAACCGTAACGTGTTTCCGGAAAAATGACACAAAATCTATTCAATAAAAACCTAAAGCTTTTCGGAGAAACAAAATTCAGTAAATCATGTTTCTAGCTTGTGATAGGTAACCTTTAATTACTGATGAAATGTGATTCCGTTCCACACCACCGAATGGAACAGGCCCATAGTTAGAATATTTTTGGAATATACGCAGACGTACACAGGGTAGCTGTTGCCGCTTTACTATTTCAGCTTTCTAATGATTTCAGTGCAAACGAGAGTTAATATTTAAAAGTGTTATAAGGCCCATCTGCCTGATTAGTTGCCAGGGATGAATGGCCCTTATTTCATCTCTCTTTCTGGTTATATTATACTCGATGGGTGGAACCTTTGCTTATCCTAATAAATGGGTTAAATTTTATTAAAAAGAAATTGCGTTTGTTATTTTGTTAGCAAAATATACATTAAATATTGCTTCTGTTTCATTATTTTATTTACTTGTAGAAAAAGTGTTGTATGCAATCATTACATAATTAGGTCTTAAAATCTCATACCTATACTTAGGCCTAAATACGGTATTTTTTTTACAGCAATTATGCAACGATCGCATAAAATATTATTATTTATGTACGAAACTAAAATCTGAATGACGGTTAAAAAAAATGGAACAACATTTAATGTTTATGATGTTAGTAATATAATTCTGGGAGGTTGTTAGTATTTTACAAATTCCCTAAATATCGAACATTTATGAGATAAACATGATAATTATCAAAGAAAGAAGATATCCATCATATTGACCTTAGAACTAAAGTCCAAACTCATAGTACCACGATTTCGTTTGACTAAGGTAAACGATTGTTTTATGGGGAACTGTATACGTTTTTACAATAAGATTCTGGAGAATATATTAAGATTATTATTTCCTAAAATTAAAATTTACGTTACCAAGTATTTTAATCGATAAGTCATATTACAAAATTGATGAGTATATGTTAGATAAAGACGTATGGAAAGCCAACACGAGTCTAGATTCCACACAATTATGATTCTAAGTGTATTCCATAGAATTTAAGTTTATTTGAAAAGAGCAAAGAGCTTCTTGCTCGTTTGTCTCAGGGAGGAGCGTAGTGAACGAGCAGTAGCTTAAAAAATGACGTTTTCAAGTGTTAAAATTTTACCTATGGAATAAATTATTATTTGATTTTGACTTTCAGACAATAAATATCTTGATAATATCGAACTCTGGGTTATAATAGTGTAGGGACACATTTAGCATTGTCACCATCTTCAGGCTTCGTATAGGTACGCGTCTCGCGCACTACCATGTGTTCTCTCATCGCCTTCCGCATAACTTCTGTATAATCAAAAATTCCACGTGGAAAGTCATTGTGTTATTAATTCGCTATGAAGACGACCACATCGATACCCTAAAATAGTATCTCTATGAATTTATGAAACTGCAGATGCTCGTGATCTTCGCTCAACATGGCTACCTGAACCTCTTGCGGGACAAGGTGACTAACCTGAAATACTCCAAGCCGCAAAAACATTACACCGATGAAAAGGTCATAAAGGAAGCGACTTACGTCAACAAGAGCATTGCGCAGCGTAAGTAACCTTATTCAGAGTGTACGTAGTACGTACAAATGTACGTAGACACTCGTTGCGTTTACAGTGGCCGCGCGCCTGTCTCGACGCGAGTAGATCTATTGGCTCGGTCCGCCCGTTCTTTTCACAGTGCTTGGTATAGCGTCTGTTTGCCATTTCGACGTGTGAATCTACTCGCTTGTAGCTGCTTCGGCACTGTGAAAGTGAAGACGCCAAGAACCGCGCGCCCGCACCCGCCGCCGTGCCCGCGCCTCCACTCTAAATGAGCCCTTACACTACTCTGACACTTCTGTATAATTTCTCAAGTCACTTTGAAAGTCACCCTGAGATTCAAGTAATACGATGAGGCCACTGACATTTAAAAATTGCTCAAATAATGACCTAGTCATTTCTTGCAGCGGTGGCGCAAATACCTGACGCAATGTTGGTCGATGACGTGCACAAAAACTACGCTAGCTTTCGCTGTTTCCGCCTCAGGAGTTGCAACGCTGTCAAGGGTGTCAGCTTCTCCGTTCGAAAAGGTAGTTTTATTTTGTATGTTATTTTTTATTTGTTTAGTCCGCTTCCGAAAACCACAGATTACTTAGTAGTTACTACGTAACAGATACATCACTCTCACACAAAATCGAAAATACCTACGCTTTAATATACTCCGTTCAACCATTTATTTAACTTTTGACAGCTCTAATTCTAATCGAATAATGCTGCGATTCCGAATCGATTTTTTTTACGATGTAATTTTTATCGTGAATGTGAGCGGGTTCAAAAAAGAAAATATTGTCTGATTGGGATCGTGATGTTGCGTTTGACAATTTATGTACTCAAGAATTAATAATTAATGTTACTGGGGATTCAAGTAATGATTCCCGTTCATATGGAGAAGTATCTGCCGATGAATTATAATAAACAAGAAGAATGTATTATAATTATTTATAATTTATTTCATTTCATTATATTTATTAGACAGGTGTTAAAATTTATCAACTTGAATTATCTTCGTTACACAATCTGTTGACTCGATAAATATCGGAGCTAAAGAGCACGTCGCTTAACTAAACTAAAAATAAAAGAGTCCAGAAAGTATTGCTTTTTTGTTTATGGTTGTATGTCAATAATTATGGAACGCATGCTTATGTCAAAATTGAAATAAACGGACGGAGTAATAGTGTACTAAATCTGACTTTTTGTAGGAGTAGAACTCCTTATGAAAGTTCGTGCAGTGTGGTACTGCCACCTTACCTATTTCTGCCACCAAGCAGTAGTGTCAACATTACCGTGTTCCAGTTTTGAAGGGTAAGGATGCTGGTGAAAGTACAGGCACATGGGACTTGTCAACTTATGTCTCAGGATAACGGGCGCAGCTCTGAGTGGTACTCCAACTCTTATGGATAGGCGTGTAGCCACCACGCCTCCAGATACATTGAGCGATTTGGCGCATGTGGGGGAGAAAGCCATAGTTAGTTTTAATAGGCTAAAAAGTACGTGAAGATTAAATAGGTAAATAAATCAAATCCTTACGTAACGTTCTGTGTCTGGACGCAGCTAATGATTGTTTGTTGCTCAAATTTCGCAACAAGCAACAAGTGCACAACCAGAGAACAAAAAGTAACGAGAACCGACACTCTCCGCCCCTCCCTAGCTTTAGATACCGCACTATGCCCCGCACTTTGTCGGTCTCATTGACTGCACGACAACAAGGCTGTCGGCGAGCTTTTTCACGCTAAGACGGCTTTGATATTTGAATATAGTTTTTATTTGTTCATTACGAAACTTGTACTTTAATATACAACATAATTAATTGTATGTTACTATTTATAATGGTCGTGAATTATGCTCTGTACGGCTGCTTGTGGTCAGAAACTCGTCTCTTTATCCCGTTTAGACGGGATAACGAGACGAGTTTCTTTCGTTTTCCGAGAGGTGAAACGAAGTAAATAAAAAAAAACTTATGTCTGAGACTCATTCGGGTATTGTTTTTTTCATTAATATAGTGCAGAGTAATATTTAATACAAATTTAAAAAATATAGAATACAGATTATAACAATATAAATACCTAATAAACATATGTTTAATTACACTAATCCTAATAATTTAGGATTCTATTAATAGAATTTTAGATAACTGATTCGCGTTAGAATTTTCGCTAAGTCGCCGCGCTTATCATGTAATAGATACGAGAATGTGATGGGTAACCCTGCCACTTCACGCACACATTTGCGCGTGTGCAGAGAGAGCTTGGCTGTATGTAGTAGTAGGTAAATAACTTTCGACTGTTGTATGGAGTGTCCGGGGTGTGGTACAACTCTAGATTTTTCAGGCGAGTGCTTCGGCTTGTTGGGCGTGAACGGTGCGGGCAAGTCTAGTACGTTCCGTATTATCACGGGCGAGCACTGCGCGACTCAGGGACAAGTATTCGCCAACGGACACTTCCTTAGGCGTCCTCGGCAACAGGTGAGCATTTATTTATTGTGCATTTCTGTAGCAGTAGAGCTCCTTGTGAAAGAGTTCGTCCAGGGAAGTATTCCCACCTTGATTATTTTTGCCGTCAAGCGGTAATGTGCGCATTACTGCGTTCCGGTTTTGGAGGGTAAGAGTGCTGGTAAAATTACAAGGGACTTGTCAAGTTATGTCTCAGGGTGATGAGCGCAGTGACCCTCAGATCTTTGCAAGACATCTCACTGCCAGCTGATTATCATAACGCGATTTTATAGATAACATTTCAATGACAATTGGACGTTACAGATTTACAGGCAACTACGATACTTTAAATTTTAACATTCATAGGTGAATTTCTCCATAATCAATTTTAAATAAATATAAATAGTACCTAACTACGTCGTATATTATAACAAAGTCTGGCATTTCCCACGTGCAAAATGTTAGACATTCACAAACATGAAGATCGTTTTTCTTTTCAATTTTATTAACACAAATTTTCTTTTTTCCCATTTACCATGAAATTGTGGTACACTTATGTAAACTAATAACTTTGCTCCACAGTACCTGCAGTCCCTAGGATACTGCCCGCAGTTCTTCGGACTGGACGAGTTTATGACGGGGCGCGACAACCTAGTGCTGCTGCTCAAACTGCGCGGCCTGTCTGGGGACGACATGGACAAGGAAGTTAAATCCTGGATAGAAGTCGTTGGTACGCTTATCTTACTTTTTCGACATTCGTTCCAGCACTCGGTAAACTCTTTACAATCTCTCGCACCTGCTCCACTTAAGTGTTGCCAACATTTCGCCGTGTTTGTTTTTTTCAATGCCGAGAGTGTACCACTTCAAGAATTTATACCGCATCTAAAAGTGCCCTAGCTAGCAGTAACAAGATCGGCGTTGTTAACTCAAACCAAAATAATACTGTGAAGGCGTCTATGACAGGTCTGGGGCGGTACGCCAACGTGTACGTGGCCAACTACAGCGGCGGCTGCAAGCGGCGGCTGGCCGCGGCGGCGGCGCTGGCGCAGGGCGCGCCCGTGACGCTGCTGGACGAGCCCACGGCCGGCGTGGACGTGTCCGCGCGCAGACGCGTCTGGAGCGCGCTCCGGAGGGGGCAGGCGCAGGGTCGCGCCGTCATCATCACTTCGCACAGGTGACCTCCACAATCATCTCACATGTCGTCACGATGTAACTGTCGAGAAACTCGTCACAAACAATATACAGTGCGTTTTTTTAACTGGTTACAGTGTAGTGAATGCCCAAACTATAGGAGATACGGGAAATCTGTCTTAGGAACCATTTAGTATGAAAAATAATTTTATTAAATATCAACTTCTGCTGTCCCGAGTTTTTCTTCCGATGCAATGAAATCATCCTTATAAGAACTAAGTGTATCAGCTTATTAAAAAAAAATTAACAATTTCATTCATTTTGTGTTAAATAAAACATTTTATGAAATTTGGCCAACTTTTGCTGTCCCGATTTTGTCGTCCCTTACAATGAAATGATCCTTACATGAAACTGAGTCGATCAGTATTAAAAATATATCAGAAAAATCTTAAATTATAATTCTTAACAAAAAAAGCCAGAAATATCTTGTTGAAATTATCCCGTGCGCAGCATACTGTTACGTAACTTAGCGGTACGCCTGTAGTAGAGTTTTTCACAAAAAATATATCCAAAACCGTGGTAGTAAAATATCATGGTATTGAATTAATAAATATTATAAGAACAATAAATAAGAAATGATCCCCGTCTTAGCTTGGACGAGATGGAGGCGCTGTGCAACCGCATAGCGATAATGTCGTACGGCGAGCTGGGCGCGCTGGGCTCGCCGGCGGCTCTGCGCGCCGACCACGCCGCGGGACATGCCGTGCGGCTTAAGCTGCGCGTGCCCGACGACGGTACGTGCAAGTCATTCCTTTCAAGCAAACTGCACACATCAAAAGTGTCATAGTTTTTAATAAAAATATCTATATCAATTTATTAAATTATTTAAAGTCTATTCCAATCTATTATGTCAGAAAAAAGTAAACAAACCGGTTTGCACTCAATAAATAAAATAAGTAACACTTTCACGTATATTTTGAAGATTTCGGCTTGATATTTCATCACGTTTTCCAGCAATATACATTTGAATAACATATTAAAATCTTATTTTGAAAATGTTAGTTCAAAAGCATTGACTTACAATTATATGGACGTCGGGTCCGCGCTAAAAAGTGTCCGCACTTGTAAGGCGCTAAAATCGTATACAGAGCGCGACACTCCGCTTTAGTCTTCATTTGTTCTACTGACAGCGCGATACTGCGATGACATTACAATTTAAATTTCGAATAGGTTGACTTGGGACATTTTTTTCGTGGTTTTTGTATTAGACCCGTCGTCCATTTATTTGTAAGTCAATGTTCAAAAGTGAGGTTAGTAATCAAATATAGATTTGTGAATAGTC